CGAGTGTGATATCCATGGTGAAGTTTCAGGGTTTTGAAGGAATACCAAAACGCAAAATACCAAAACCAAAACGAGCTTCTCTACTGTCATCTTTATACAGGCCCGATGGATGAGGCTTAGTCAGGACTGTAGGAGTTGGGGTAGTAGGAAGAGGAGTTGTCGGCGGCGGCCGAGCGGGAATACCACGGAGCTGGAATCTCCATTCTGTTATAAACGTCCCGTGGGTGGTAATCTCACTCATGGGTACGCCTTGCTCCGAGGAAACGAACAGCTGTTGGAATGTATCGCCGTTGATATTAGAGTCACGACAGTTATCCACTTGTGTCGTGAAATCTGTTTCGCTGAAGTCGGGCCCCACGTAGAGCTTATCGTCGATATAGTGTCCCTCATGATTGCGAACAGGGCCAATGTGATAGGGAATGTTCTGAACAGAAGCAGTGCAGCTACCGAGCCTGATAGTCAAACTCATCAGAAGCAGGTTCTCGTAGAACTCGATAGTGCTAACAGAGTCTGAACGTTCGCTACTCTCGTAGGTCCCCACAGGGTGGGTCCCATGTGCTGGAGTAGCAGGAGATCGAGTTGGGTAGGCCGGGGGTTGAGGGGGACCACCAGCAAGACCAAAAACCCTGTCTTCACCACCAACCATAGAAGCCGTCACCTCATTCATCGAGCCGCCTTCCGAAGATGCACGGAGACGTCGGAATTGGACACTTCTCACAACCGCGTCATTACAGCTGTCAAGCTTCGTCGCGAAGTTCGTGGAGCTGTAGTCGGGGACGATCCAGAGTTGGCCATTAGAGCCAGGGATCGGAGTAACGTGATAGGGAGCGTTATAGGCAGTCGCGACGCAGATATCCAGTCGGATAGAAATGGAAAGAGTTTGCTGCTGTTGATGGAATATTAGAGATCCGCCCGACTCATCACTCATGGAAGTATAAAAGCTTCCCACGGGGTGGCTTATTGGTGGCGCATACGTAGTTGCAGTTCGGCCCGGCGGAGACCTCGTAGTTAGGCCTGGCACGGGACGAGTGGGACAAATGGCTAACCAGCAGTTCCACGAAGACCCCCTTACACCGCCACTGATAGTGATGTCGCTCATGAGAACACCGTTGTTGGATTTGACGTGTAGACTGTCGAAGAAGTCGGCATTAATAGAAGGATCTCGGCAAGCAGCGAGGCGTACTTTAAAATCAGTAGAGCTATAGTCAGGCTTGACCCAATACTCGTAGTTAGAATTGGGGATGGGAGTTATGGTATAGGGGACGTCAGAGGCCGAAACACCACAGGACCCGACCGTGGCACTGATGCGTAGCACCTGCTTATCTTCGTCGAAATCTAAACGGCCACCGTACCGGTTTGATCCCCTGCAACCGAAAGCGCCCGTAGGATGGCTCTCAGGGATTGCTGGGGTGGGCTGCACCGTAGTGGGAGGAGCTTGTGTAGTTGCTGGTTGCGTGGGGGCGGGGCGGCTACTTAACCAGTATTCCCATGCTGACCCGCTACCAACGTTAACAGTGATATGGCTCATTAGAACACCATCTCTCGACTCGATCAGGAATGTGTTGAAGGAACCAGCATGGAGAACAGTAGACCTGCAGCTACTTATGGCTGCCTTGAAGTTGGTCGAGCTGTAATCAGGTACCACCCAAAACTCGTCAGAACCGTGGATAGGCGTCACAGTATAAGGGACGTCAGCAGAAACGCCGCACTCACCGTCAATTACGCTTATGTGAACAGTCTGCTGGTCATTAGCGAATACAAGAGTACCGCCAGATGTAGCGGATGCTCTGCAAGCGTAGGTGCCCACAGGGTGGGAAGCGCGAACGCTTACGATAAGCTTAAGCAGAAGATAATAGAAGAAAGGTATCTCATATAGGGAGGTTGTAACAAGTTACTGCCAAGGAGATATAACTCGAAAAAGTAGCGATCGAAACCTAGACGCCCCGTGGCCTCATCCGGAGACGTGAGTCACGTCACGTGACGCCTGGCGAGCCGCGCCCAC